CATGAACCTGCCAGGATCATTTGAAACCAATCTCACCACACAGCCTGTCTTGGGATCAAACAGAGCTAGAATAAAGGGATGCTCTGTGTTGAGGTGATAGCTGCTTCTTCTTCTCTGCAAAGACCCTGTATAACCCCCACAATGCTGTTCTTTAACAGCAGAGCGATTTTCCAGCTTTTTTGTCACTGGGGGTCAGAAGCAGCTTGACTAAAAAGAACTGGAAATCCCATTTCTGTCCTTGTGCCTGTGATCCACAACCAAAACTAACTCTGCCCTCAGCAGAGGGAATATCTCTCTCCAACAGGCGGGACAAACTAATGTGACCCTCCTGGAAATCCAGTTACCTATTTGAAGTGTGGAGGAGGAAAGAGGAGACACAGGAATGACTGGATCTTTGTTTTCTAGTTATGTCACCGCTCACCGTTCCTCAAGCGTCATTGGCTCTTGCACTTCTCGCCCATATGTGAGACCATCGTCACGCTGCATGGTTTCTGAGGTCGAGGTTTTCAGATCGAATCTGACACCCAGTTATTCCGTCTCCTTAACTTCTCCAGGGCTCACTGACAGCAGAAAAAAAGATTTCTACTTCTGTTGACAGTTTATAAATGAAATGTCTATGGGTTTACACTCTGTTTAAATCTGTTCTTGTCATCAGAACACACTCTGCACATGTGCCAGCGGAGGTTTTTGCACCTTGCAAGAATTATTTTATCAGTCACCACTGCTTTATTGGCCTGTTTCTCATATTGGCAACAAAATATCAAGCAGCTGTGTTCTCTCCTCTTCTGTTGAAGGTGAGGATGAATTCTAATAACGTACCAGTGGAAGTTTTAAAATCAGCTCAACTTCTGGCTGTTTAATCATCAGATAGAAACGTAATTCCACACATCTCATTCAATAAAAATGCAATTAATTGGAAATAGGTAACACTTTTAAATGAGGCTATCCAAACTATTGATTCTAGAGATTTGAAATTAATACAATGATTGGAATTCTAAGTTGTCATTATAATACAGGAAGTCAGTATTTTCTCCAAGTTAAGATGTAAGGGGCAGGGGTGTGGCCTCCCTTAGAAATGATTGGCTATTGCCTTATCAGAGGATGCACTTGAGTTGAAATCAACTATTTGGGCTGTGTTGAAGCCTGTTTGTAGTTTTCTATGCTATACAAACGACACATGAATATATCAACTTTTACTTGTCAGCATAATAATAATAATAATAATAAAGTTTATTTATATAGCGCTTTTTGCAGACAAAGGTCACAAAGTGCTTTACATCAACAAAAAACAACAACAGCATACATACAATAAAAGAAGAAAAAATAAAAAATGAGTACCTCATGGACGACATTATAAAATCCTGCTATAACCGGGAACAATAATTGGCACAATACAACATTGATGAGTAGGTACACTGGGTGGACCTGATTACCCATAGGCCTGTGTGTGTGTGCGTGTGTGTGTGTGTGTGTGTGTGTGTGCGTGCGTGTGCGTGTGTGTGTGCGTGCATGTGTGTGTTTGCGTGAGTGTGCGCAAAAGTTAAAAAAGACTGGCTCCGCCGTAATAAGTGGGGGAATCAACGCTTGGAACCTGTGGAAGTTTCCAGAGACTTTAAAAATCCCAGCCTTTGTCAGGCTCAATAATCAAACGAGTTGAATATGTTAAAACCATATGAAAAAAAAAGACCAAGATGAAGCACTAAGGCACGCATCTTTGTACGAATCAAAGTTTTCATAAAGGCTTAACAGTGTGCATTGACTTGAGAAGTCTGTGGTTTTCTGACCCACCTTTACTTTTTATTCTGAAGTCAATTGGACCGAGTATACGTCTGCTCAGCATATATATATTAAGTATGCACATCACAAAAGGTGCAGGGCCTTGCAAAAACAGCAGACTGAGGAGGAAGCCTGCACACTTGATAAAAATTTAATTCATCACAATCAGATTTAAGCATCAATGGGCTAATAGATACCACAATGGAAGGTGTGGTCAAATATTCAAAATATCCCAGGGTGAAACACAATGGTCACCTTTCAAATATAACGCAAAGGGAAATATACACGGTAAACAAACAAACAAAACCAAAATAAATATTGTCATACACTTCTTAAAAAATACTATTAAAAAAGCAGTGTATTAAAACATCAACATCAAAGACGCATCCCCAAACCATACAGCGTGCATTATGTAAAGAGGAGTAAACACATCTGTTGATTTATAGATGGTCATAAGGTTTACTTATTTACTAATTTATTGATTTAAGATATATTTATATATTTGTCTGTTTTCTTTCAATCAGATGGTTGGTAGTTCCATCAAAGAACGAGTCATACTGTCAAGACACTGAACTCCAGATTGCTCCTGGTGCATTAACACTGGTGTGTGAATGTGCATGAATGTGATGAGTTAATACTGATGGCCTCTTCACATAGCATCCTCTGCCATTAGTGTATGAATGTGACGTGGAGTAAAAGTTCTTTGAGCGGTCAGAAGAGTAGAAAAGCGTGACATACGTAGAGTGGGTCAGAAAGCTTTAAAGTTTTTTGCACTTACTGCTGAAAACTGATTTTCATGTTTTTAAACTCGTGTGAAATCTCCTGAGTCCAGGCTTTTGGTGTGCAGATCATTTAGATTTTTTCTTATACATACCATGCTTCTCTTGATTAGTTATGCCTTGTTAAAGTACAATAGGACAAACCTGACTAAAAGAAAGCTTAGATGAGTAGATAAATAACACAACAATATATAGGATTGGATAATACTTTATTGATCCCCAGAGGGAGGGGAAATTCTACTCTCCTTGCAGCACTACAAGGACAGTAGAAGAAGGTCATACAAAATAAAAAATATAAACAAAATAGATAAGATAAATATAAATAACAATAAGAGGTATATGTACGATATAAATGGTTATGTTAACAGGGCAATTAGACATTATGTGGAGCGAATGGCATGATAAAGTGACAATATAGAGGATACCTTTTTATCTGAATATGTTGTATTGAACCTACCAAACAATATACATTCACGTGTTCTTATGAGTTTCAGCATTTTATAGGTTTGACATGTATGAGTATTTTTGGGAAATGTATCTTGATTTCTGAAATCTTCAAAAATGAGAGTAGCTAAAGCCAATATTTTTCACACTGAGGATTTTTTGCATGTAAAGCAAAAGACACGCTAATAAATCAGATATTGTCATGTACAAGATAACAAAAAATCTAATGCTAGAAACAGACTATGATGTGAGTACAGTGGTAAATATAGAACAAATATGTAAAGTGAAATAAAAGGAAAAAACAGGTGCTAGATCATGTTAAGCTAGCAGGTTTAGTGGTCTATCCCAGCAGACATCCCTGAACTAAAGGAAAAAGGCAATGAGGATGTTACACTTCATGGTAGATAAATCTCATGCAGTCAGATAAATGGCACTGGAAAACAAAACAAGGCTTTCTCTTTTCCTTTTGTTGGGCTGAACTGTCCAAAAGATGTTTCAGGGACCCCAGAGAGTAGCGCCATAAAAGATTCCATTATCAGGAGGGGACGAGGAATAAGTCTCTCCCACATACATTAGAGCACAGAAACAAACTGCTGTTAGTTTCTGACAGCAGCTTTGATTTAGCTCTGCATCGTTCATTGTGGAGCACTCATTTCTCCACACCTGGGAAACCTATTGGCGGAACTGTAACTGACTAATAGTTCCATGTATATTTCCAGATGTGGAATTCACTCACAGAGACCTGTGATCAACCTGTCTGATGGTTGCCAAAGCAAAGTTTAGAGCAACACAAAAGTTGTATTAAAAAATGAGCTGCAGATCCATTCAAAATAATTCTCCTGTGTCATTCCTAAAATGTAATGTCTCCTTTTGTTTTGATGAAGAGCTCTATTTCAGTTTTATGCACAGTAGAATCTACAACAGGTACAAAAGGGAGAGTGTGCATTCTGCATAGGAAGTGACACTGATCTGAGGCAGGTGAGCTCTTGTGTGGGCGTCCGTGTTAAGACAGTGCAATGGAGAAAATGAGATAATCAGGGTTTACAGATCTGGGTGACTGTAGTGACGCAGGGCTTTACACCTGCCTAATGGAGAGGCCATGACAGCTGCCACGCCTCGACTGCTCTGTTCAACCAGACTGCCTGACCGCCTCACATTCTGCCTGAACCAGGGACTGTCTGCTGACTCTGTCTCTCCCGAAGAAAACCTGAAGCCAAAGAAAAAAGTAATTATACAAAAGTCTTAACAGGAATACCATGCATAAGATAAAATGCTATACATTCACATGATCAAGGGTATTTAAAGGTATGAGTACTGTATGATGTTCAGAGGGAAGAGTGACAGCCACATATGTTGTCAGAAGCTGAGGGTAATCTTTCAGAGAAGCTGCAGACCCTGATCTGGACCTTTTAGCGGTCTGGGGCTAAAAGGCTTATGGGATCACAGAAAAAGTATTTTTTTGTCTGTTTTAAACAGGAAAAGACCCCTCTCCTACATTGCTAATTAGGTGCTTAAATGTATATTAGGGTGCTTAAATGTATATTAGGGTGCTTAAATGTGACACAAGGAATAAAACAGTCCGTGTAATGCCAAACCAGCCTAGGGAGGGCGACATTGAAACGTCAAGTGAGCTTTATATGCACACAAGCAGAAAACACTTTCATACTTCAAGTTATTTCTTTGTTTTTATTTAAAGTTTAAAGTTTTTTTTTGTCTAGAATGATTCTAAACTTCCTGTAATTTCTGAATTAATTCATGTGCAGCAATTAACTTGTATAACCTGAAATGATTCAAAAGGGTAACATCGTGTTTATGTAAATGAGAATTTCAAGGTTTTTAGATTAAAAGCATTTTTTTCTAACTCAAGGACGGCTGGGGAGCCGATTTCTAAAGTGGATTCGTGCAGTATGATCATGTTGTGCAGGGTTTGCATCGAGCAGTAGACTGTCAGAGGGGGGCGGGGTGAAGTAAGCTGACATCCTCTCAGACTACAGAGCTGACTGTTGCAGAAGGACGCGGCGTGCCAAGTGGGCTAGCAACGGTTAACTTCTGCACAAGTGAGAGAAATATGTTCTTCTTAACGGAGTTGGGCTAAGCAAGCTGGATTTCCTGAGCACATTCACTTTGCATTATTTGGATTATTGGTTGGAAACAGGAGAAGATATTAAAAAAATGTAGGAGCTGTGCGTAAAAATCCACAGGATCCCATTGAAGGCTTGAGCGTCGGTCGGGGGGAGGATTTTGCCAAAGCGCGACTTGAGGAGCAGCTTATTCATGCAAATTCATAAAATCATAGGCGTGCCTTTGGGCGATGGAGTCACAGCTGGGAAAGCAAACCCCCTCCTGGATCATCAGCGACCTTCAAAGACTGTGATGCGCGGCGCTCAGACACATTGACTGCAGCACCGGAGCAAATGTTTTAAAAGCGCAGAGAATCAGAAGAGAAAGTTATCGCTCCATTTCTACACGCTTCTGCTGACTGGATGCACTTTCTCCTCAACGCAAACACCGGCTTTGACTGCTGCGCCACTGGACCTCCAACCCCAGGCGGACTGCGTTACTCTGTAACGTGCTGTCAACATTTGCTTTGGGTCTTTTATTTTATTTAAACTTTAAGTTTTTCATGTTTTTGATCATTTGGACGACTTCAACCTGATGTGGCTGCAGTTATCACTAATCTACACTTCAGATTTAGTGCGTAAAGCATTGTTCCCTTTTTAAACATTTTATTTTTCAATTGAATCTCTGAGGACTTTTCGCCTTCAACATGTCAGAGGACGACAGCAGCTCCACCACCAGCTGCACGTCTGACACAGAGTGCAGCAACGTGAGCGTTCTCAGCTGGGAACAAGTGCAGCGTCTTGACACCATCCTGACGGAGACCATACCGATACACGGCCGCGGGAACTTCCCCACTCTGGAGATGCAGCCGCGGCAGATCGTAAAAGTAGTGCGCAGTCGGATGGAGGAGAAGCAGATCCACGTGCGGGACGTGCGGTTAAACGGCTCTGCAGCCAGCCACATCCTGCACGAGGACAGCGGCCTGGGCTTTAAGGACCTCGACCTCATATTTTGCGCAGACATGAAAGGTGAAAGTGATTTCCAGACTGTGAAGGACATAGTTTTGGACTGTCTCCTGGATTTTTTACCCGACTGTGTGAATAAAGAGAAAATCACCCCGTTAACGTTAAAGGTACATTCACTCTCTCACCTTGGTGCTGTTATTGTTTTCCCTGCTTCTCTTGTTTAAGATACTTTTAGACATTGGATAACGCTTAATGACATTCGTGCCAATTCGGCTTAACGACCATTACCTGCAGCTTAATGTGCAATTAGATTAGTTAAGTGATAGTAAAATGTTGATTTTCTGTAGTTAAGAAGATTGAGTTAAACCAATTTGGAAGGGATCCTAAGCTCAGCCACCTAGGTCGAATATCCCAGAACATTTAATATTGGGGTCAATACTATTAATAACACAGGATGGTTAACAGAAAGATGTGCAGCTTTTACTAGTATTTGTAGAAAACCTGCACCATGCAAAATAATTCCTAAATGTATTGACACTTTAATGGTTTCTACTTTGTATTCACAATGTTTTTTTTTCTCACACAGGAGGCCTATGTGCAGAAGATGGTAAAGGTGTGTAATGACTCAGACCGCTGGAGCCTCATCTCCCTCTCCAACAACCGGGGAAAGAACGTGGAGTTGAAGTTTGTGGACTCTCTACGGCGGCAGTTTGAGTTCAGCGTCGACTCCTTTCAGATCAAACTGGACTCCTTGCTGCTCTTCTATGAGTGCTCAGAGAACCCAATGGCCAAGACCTTTCACCCCACCATTGTGGGTGAGAGCGTGTACGGGGACTTCAGCGAGGCCCTGGACCACTTACGTCACCAAATCATCTGCACCCGGAACCCCGAGGAGATCCGAGGTGGCGGTCTGCTGAAGTACTGTCACCTGCTGGTGAGGGGGTTCAGGGCCGCCTCGGAGACCGAGATGAAGTCCCTGCAGCGCTACATGTGCTCACGTTTCTTCATTGACTTCTCAGACATCAATGAGCAGCAGCGCAAGCTGGAATCTTACCTTCAGAACCACTTTGTGGGCCTGGAGGACCGCAAGTATGACTACCTGATGACCCTCCATGGAGTGGTCAATGAGAGTACGGTGTGCCTGATGGGACATGAAAGGCGGCAGACCTTAGGGCTCATAGCCATGCTGGCAGTGCGAGTTCTTGCAGAACAGAACATCATCCCCAATGTGGCTAATGTAACATGTTACTACCAACCTGCTCCTTATGTGGCAGATGGAAACTTCAGTAACTACTACATAGCACAGGTACAGCCCGTGTTTGCCTGCCAGCAGCCTGCATACTCCACCTGGCTGCCCTGTAACTGAGTGAGCCCCGAGCGTAGGAGGAGGGAGCCTGATTTGTTTGAACAGGAGGAAGCAGCACTCAGCCCTGCCTTGCGTTTGACAGCTGACACAAAGCTTGTGCGTTTGTTCATGCGGTTTGCATGAACACTTGGCTTTCACTACAAGTATTTCAATGTGAATATCTCATGTTTGTTGAAATGCCAATGTCTCCTGATCCTATCTTGGCCAGCAAGCTGCAGAAAACACTCATTTGTGCAGCTTGGGAAAAAAGGCTAAATGCAAAATGTGCAGCTGCTTGAGTGCAAGCGTTTGATCCGTCACCAAACCTGCACGAGACTGTTTGAATCAGTCAAGAATTGATAAGGCAGCATATTTCGACTGCAAACCAAACAGCTGTGCAAAGCTACAAATTGAACACCTAAGACTCAGCTAAAACAGCTTAACTGAGGCGAGACACTGTTTAACCATAGTTTGGATGACAAACTGGCGTCTCCGCCTTGCATTTGGATATAATTATGGTTGTTTACAGGCCAAATGTTTTCTTTTTGATTGTTTCTAACAAAATCCCAATGTTGATGGGGAAAATAAATACAATATGAGAATATGTCTATTTGTATATGTGAAACTATTTGTGTTTTAAGTGCCTATTGCCTCTCAGTCGGCAGAGAAAAGAATGAGCAGCCCATATGATTTTTATGAAATAGCCCCCTTTTTGTTTATTCTGATTACAACAGCACCCCAGAGGATTGTGAATGTATATATTAAACCATGCACATGTCATTGTTTGTGTACATTTGGATAAACATCATACATCAGTTCGGATATTGCAGTAAGGTAGCATTCAATGTTGCTGTTTTACATTTTTGTGTGAACATTCTGAATTACAGCGTGGAAACCAAACATTACCAAACAGTTTTACATTCAATTCATTTGTATTTTGCTGTAAGAAAGGGTGACGAGCATTTTATCGTTTGCAACAAAGAAAACTGTCACTCACACACAATTTCCTGTCTGTTTTATTTCATGGTGCTTCTTCTTTTCTCATCTGTAAGTTCACAAGAAATAGATAAGAGACAGCGAGAGTGTGTTCAGAGAGAGGGCCGACAGAGAGCCTGTGTTCGCTTCCTCATGCAGTGGAAGGGTATTTGCAGAGACACCTCAGATGATGAGACACTTATTTGCAGTAGCACCCTTGCAGGGAATTCCTCAGCTGCTGCTGAAGAGCTTGAACTTCGCTGCTGAGGTTGGGTGTGCAGGCGCTCTGTTTAAGGCTTAGAAATGTGCCAAACATTTTGGTGGCTCCGCTGAAAAACCAAAAGTTTAATGAGGCAATGTGTTGACCAAGGAAAAGTAAAGTAGTGGATACAGAAGACAAGGAAATAGACAATAGAGGAGGAAATGGGAGATGAAACATTCATGTATTAGTGTAAAAGACAGGAGGGAGAGTGAGTGAGTCTGGAGAGATGGGTGCAGCTGGTGATGGGGTTTAACTTTACTGTATTAACTGTCTCTGTTAAGGTCACATCCTAACTTAATGGGACAGTGCTGCAGCTCTCCCCTTGTTTCAGGGGACCAAAACATTATGTTATTAACGTTGTGTTTTAATCATCTGATTGTACAAAAGAGTGAAAACAGATGAGAAAATACTTTCCTACTTCAGGAGACCTGAAGATGCAAGTATATCTTTTAATTTGAAAGGGTTATAATTGATGCTTGTTCATGCTTTATTCCACATCATTTAAGTAACCGTGTATATACATGATAACAAGCTTCAGCTTTGCCAACTCACCTACTTCTTGCAAACTTTAGTGCAGCCTTTCCTCTGGAAAGATAGGACAAAAGGACATGATGATTTCAAGCATAAAAGGTAGACTATGGCTAAAAAACCAGCATCAACTCAATACTGCAGTATAAAGGGACATTCTCTTGCAAATAGCATTTCTTTGTCATCCTCTGTTTTTCCTGTCTAACTATCCATAACGGCTCGGTTCCGTTGTACTTCTTCTCAGCCCACGTTGATGGTATCCTTTGGATTGTGCAGGCAATGTGTTGTCAGTTAATACTCAGTGACACCCTAACAGCTGACTAGCTAGCTAGCTGCAGTCTGCCTGTCAAATAGTGATTGTGCCTATCAGTTAGAGATTGTGTTGTACGCGTTGTCTCAAATATCTGTTTCTGCTCATGCAGTCTTTTACAAATCACAGTTTGAAAAAGGAGGAAAAAAAGATCTTCGTCTTTTATGTATATTTTTTATGATTGTTATTTTTATAAATGTATCACACTGCAGGTGATGCAGTGCTTTTGAATCAGTGATCCGGCTTCACAGGATATGTTCTCAATAGCTTTTTTTGCTATATAATGTTATGTGTCCAATGGGTCAAAGTTAAAAGATGTTTTCATCAATAAAATATCTGAAAATTGGATTCGTAATGTCTCTTGTTGTTTATCTCTCTGAGTCACGTTTACTGCTCTGACTCGGCCCAAACAGAAACCTTCTGCCAGACATGAGAAAATGCTTATTTGTTGACTCGCTTCAGGTTTCCTTTTTTTCCAAAGGAGAGTCCCTGTGTCTTTCACGCATATTAGCATTTCAGTGGCTTTCAGTTGCTTCCCCTCTCACTCACACAGAGAGGCAAATCCCAGTCATGGCCTGCTGGGCCCAACAGGCCCAGCCAGAAACCCGTCCAGAACTGGCCTGCTGCTGCCAGAAAGAGCTGTTGTTCAATGTGAGGGGATTTTCATCCACCTAAAAAAGACACTTCAAAGCTTTTGTAGAATGAATATCTTTGCCTGCTCATCAAATTCTCTCTGCTAACAGCTCCCCCCTCCCCCTCCCCTACCCAGTACAACAACAGCAATACAATGACGACCAGTGCTTAGGCCTGCAGAGAACAGGGTCCACATAGCTCATGGATGTCAAGTGAAATAAAACTCCACAACAGAGATGACTGCCACACAGGTCATGTGACAAGCTGTCCTAGATACTGATTGATATGGAGAAGAAACCCTAGAATGAGTAAGAGATTCACTATACTTAGCAGACATGATAAGGACATCTCTTTTACTTAAGCGCATTTAAAGCTCATTAATCTGAGCCATGGACTGAATGATTGACAGGTTTGTGCTGCACAGTAATGCACACACAGGCACACACAGATAAATATCTCATGTATGTTTAATCTTCTGTTGGCTACTCATATTCTGAAAAAACTAACTTACAAAACTCTGTATCACTGTTTGTTTGACTAACTGAAGCACCATATTACTTATCTGACATTACTTATTAGTTATCTGACAAAACATGTCTTAAAGGTTTTCACAAACATATTTAAAAAAAACAAAAAAAAAAACTGATTGTATTCCTTTGTGAAGAATGTTGCCTTAAAGAACTAATCACAAAAATATAACGATTGCCTGTCAGAAGCAGAAGTAGTGTTCTAATTTAGGGGTAGCATCCTTCGAAGGAACCATCCTTTGTAGCTGGCTTAGACCGCTCAGGCAAAACTGAAATGAAGAAATTCATGGACAACAGAGGATTTCCGGTTGCCGTTACCATCTGTTCCTAGCCTTGCCCTTTTCATTAGTGCTGCTGTTAAGTGCCAGGTGATGGAGCATGGTGCTCGCTGTGGAAACAGGAGCATTGGCTAAAGTGGCAGCGAACAACAGCCTAGTGTGCGGCGCTGACGGACCACGATGCACATGGAGTATGTGGTAATCGGCAGTTTTTCTCTTCAGGCGATCAATGCTGTGCTCTCTCCTTCATGTGTTTGCTAACACACTCCCCATGTCAACTTACTATAAGAAGTTCATCATATGCTTTTTAACTTCTTGTACTGCCCACAAGTGGCAGGTTGAATTATCCATTTAGGATCATGATAAATTATTATCATCGGAGCTCAGTGTTTGTCTGATTGTTTGAGGGCCAGTCATTAACTCTTTTCACACATACGGAAATGTCCTGAAAAACTCTGGAGATTTGTCTACCCGGAGGTTCTTTAGGCTATGTGTGAACGCAAACAGCCACATTTTTTGCGTGGACTTTACCCGGAGTTTCTCCTCCAGACCTCTAGTATTTTATCTGCAGAAAATCAGAGTGAGCTGATGTCTGAACACTGCAGCATATACTCTGGAGATTTCACCTCGAGCCAATAGAAAGAGAATGACGTTTATATACCGTGACTGCCTAAAGTGTCTGCACGCGACCACTACGATCTCTGTGCTCTAATGAACCTGCTGCATTCTGTTTTCTGTTCGTCAGTATGTTGTTCTCCTCTCTTTTGTGGATGGTGTCAATATTCTCATTATAACATCGTGTAGCGGACTCTGTTGCTACGGCCGTTATTTCCGCGTTGTTTATTTACCTCTTAAAAGGACTTACTGGCTGCTGCGTTGTTGACAGAGAAGCCAGCACTTCAACACAACATGTCTGATGATATAGTAAGGTAATGTATTTTTTTCATTCAGTAAATATCTATCACATATTTGACCTCTGACAACCTTTGCTCTGAGAAGTTAGATTGATGTAACAGAGGCGCCACAGGGCCTAAATCTCAGATCCTTAATTTGAGATGCATTAAATGAAAAGCCCTGCTAATTTAAGGGGACTCTCATTTGAAAGTTTAAAGAGTGAGTTGTGAAAGACTCTTGCCGCAGCAAGCTGGCTGGCAGAGGGTGATAGCTGAAGCCGACCACAAAGTGAATCCCCACAGTATGTCTTTATAATAACCTGTTTACCTTTGAATAAAAGCTCAGACAGTTGTCTGTCATCCTCCTGGTCCCTCCCACTTGCCGGAGAGCTCAGCTGCTCTCTAATGGCTTTTCCACTGAAAAGATTGGAGAATGGGATTTCTCTCCTTTTTTCCTTTTTATGACTATGAAGAATTTTTTCCAGATGAAAGTTTTTATGGAATAAGCTGGAACTGTTTGGACTTCGGCTTTACCAAACTGACGGCTGGGTCGGTCTGGTCTGGTCTGGGGTCCAGTCTGAGGAATGCTGACCCTGGCCAACCTAAATAATGCCTTGGTTGACTTGGTGCCTTGTCTCTGAAATGCCAGTAAACACAAAACTTCCACATTATACAACATTTGACTTATAAGACAAGTGTGGGATAACACTGAGCAGACAGCATGAGAGCAGAACTCCCCCCAACATTAAGCCAGGCTTGTAAACAAATTCCAGAGGGATGAGTTTGTACAAACAGTAAGGAAACATTCATCATGCATGTTAACAGCCATGAGGGAGATAAAGAGTCAGCTACAGGTCACAGACTGTTAGATCTACAGTACACTACTGTTCTTAGTAAAACAACATCATCTGAACGGGTCTGGGCTGGGCCCCTGCTCTCACTCTGCTGCCTCCAACATGAAACCATCTCACATGAGCAGATACAGCACATTCCTCTCACAGGAGAGCTGATACTGGTTTCATGCCACCATATCATATCAGATAACACTTGTTATGAGTTGACGCTATACAAATAAAATTGAATTGAAATTGAATATCAGACTACATGATTACACGCTGCTATCATAGTAGAGTTCTGTGTACCAGTGTCCATAAAGCTGTCATTACTTAAATCAATACTGGCCTTTTCTAATCCTTAAATTCACTTACTGTAGACGTCACCTGTTTGACCTTTTGACCATCTGCTTGCAGGCGATGTCACTAACCGGACAGCTGTGTCACCCAGACATTTAAACTTGAAATGTTTGCTTATGACTGAAAACAGATCTGTATGTCCTGTTCCAGTCATAGTGTAGTGTGTAATCACAAACTACCTCATGCTCAGTTTGCACATATTACACTCATTTTTTGCACAGTTTAAATTTTCTATTTGCACTCTACTGCCTTGAAATTGCCTTATTTTTTGTATATTTTGTATATTTGTATATATTATTATTGTTTTTATTATTATTATCATTTTTATTTGGCTATGTTTAATTTTTTATATTTTATTGTTGGCATTCATTGTCGACAGCAAAGAAAGAATTTCATTGTACAGGGAAACATTTCATGACAATAAACATTTTGAATCTTGAATAGTGATGCTTTTTGGCATTTTACTAAAACAGAATAATACAGTCACAAAAAAGGGAAAAGACAAAAATAAAATTCTTTGTGTTTTCAAAACTTAAAGAAATTTGCTTTAAAGCTCAGAGTTAAAGTTAAAGTCAGGCTTCCAGTAGAGCTGGAGCAACCTTTTAGCAAAGCAGAGGAGGTCTTTGTATCATAGTTGTAATGTAAGACGACTCTTAGTGTTACACCCGTTGAGTCTTGACCTGTAGTCAACAACTTATGGGAAAGAAAGCAAACACAGGAAGAGGAACACAGCTGTAGATCAATGGGCAGGTGTCAGTGGGAGCGATGGGGAGCTGATGTCTGTTGTTGCTGATGTCTGAAGATTTATCGACTCCTCTAAAAGTATACCTCAGCTCAACGGTATCAGGAAAAAAACCGAGCTGAAACAACTGAGTAGGGCTTAGTGATTCATGGATTCTGGATAAGGTCAGACATGGGGTGGGAGGCATTGGGTGGAAAAATGGAGAGAGTTTAGACACGAAGAGGAGTGGATCATAAAAGAGCTGTTTGTGTGTGTGCGTGTGTGTGCGTGTGCGTGTGCGTGTGTGTGTGCGTGTGCGTGTGTGTGCGTGTGTGTGTGCGTGTGCGTGTGTGTGTGCGTGTGCGTGTGCGTGTGTGTGTGTGTGCGTGTGTGTGTGTGTAGAGAGAGAAAAAGAAGTCCAGGGAGGGCAGGGAGGGAAGGTGATCCTCTCGTCTCACAGATTAGTGTTATTTAGGTTAGCAGGTTTATCTTATATAAGTCTCTGAACCTGCAGGACAGACGAGCCTCCTCTGATTCAGCAACCAGGGCGACTCAGAATCAAAATTCTATGAACAACAATTTTTATATTGCTCAGAAATAAAATGCAGTTATATGTTTTTGAATTTTCAACCCAGATATGGTATATATATATATATATATATATATATATATATATATATATATATATATATATATATCAGATATGACCGAGACAATGACTTCATACACTGACATGAGCATCATTCAACATTCTAATAACAGTTTGCCATTTTGTAAAAATTTATAGATTCTTTACAAAACAACGCAACGTGGAAAAATGAAGCAGCTACAACATCGTGACTTTGGTTCTGATAAATATTTGCTTGTTTTTTCATTTGTTTTCATTAGCTCCATGTGACCAAATAAAAAATTTGATTGTTATATTTGATTCAACAGTGTGGTCGGATTGGTAGGTCTGCCTTGTCTGCCCGTAGACTAAACCACAAGGGTATTCTCTGTCAGCTTCCAGCTTACCTACAGAGCTACACACTTTAAAAAAGTACTTGAAAAGTACAGGATTTATAGCTTTTAAGTTACCCTAAAGACTGTACTGAGTTGGGAAA